GTGATTTTACTTCTAGGAAACCATAATAAAAGATAACTTGAGATGAGCCCATGTATTTATGTATGAAGATATGTATTATAGTTCTTTTTATAATATGAAAGTGTGGAACTTTTAAACGGTCCATCATAAGTAATAATAATTGTCTTGAATTACTAAGTACTTTTTTTTAATGTGCTAGACCACATACTGTCTATGGGTTATCTCATTTCTTTCTACACTTACATGATATATCATTAATGTCTATTTTTTAATTTCCCTGTGGTGTTTGTTATAGGCCAGCTTTTCCTTGGTGGAACTCATCTTTCATCTTGTGTAGTAGCCATGTGATTTAGGAGAACTGACCATGGCTGTATCTCCAGTGATGCACCCTGATTGGCCTATCAGTGATTCTGTGTCTCCAGTGATTGGTTAGGGATGTGTGTGTGTCACTTTTTTGGCCAATGAGAGTAAGTCCCAGAACTTCTCATTACTGATTGAAGGAGAAATGCTCTTTCTCCCTTAGCTCTCACTCTTGTTTTTGCTCTGGGTTTCTCGCTTTCTTTTCCTTTGTTCCCCCTCTTTTCTCCAAACATTGCTAAGATTTCCATTCCTTCCCCTAGTCAGATTTATTTTCCACTTCAAATTCCCATTGCATTAAAAAGTTACTAAAAGTTAAAAAGTATGAATTTCACTCTGACATACATTAACTCAAGTAAAAGTTTAACCTGTGGCCAGTTGTCACTTCTTTGAATCCATCTCAATGCCTAGACTGTGTTTTCCATAAAAGGCTCTTGATATTTGAGAGGTGAGAATTTGTGAAGAGTTAATGTTAAAAAGAACAAAGACTCTCCCTTAATCTGTTTAGGCTGAAAAATATAATAACCAAAAGTTTCAGAGAAAGTGGCTTGTGTTTTCCACTGTAGCAGAACGACTGAATGACTTGATAATTGTTCTCCTACTTCTTCTAATTAGGAAAATTTCCTGCTGGTGACAGCTTGAAAGCACTGCTAAAAGTTTCATGTCAATGTAGAGGAAAGAACTAGCTTTAATTTGTTTTTAAATTGGTAAATTTAAAATTGGTATTAATTCTGAAATAGTTTGTCATGTCTCATCCTCTATCACTTTTTTCTTTACCATACTGACTACTGAGGGTAGAGAACTTAAAATGCACGTAGAACAGTAACAGTCAATTCTTGGTCCAGACTGACATCTCTGAGCATTTGAAAGCCTGGATCAGGGCTGCCTTGGTCTTGCTCTATTCCTATATAAATTGAATCCCAAGCACCATTGCAGTCTTACATTTTACTAATATGTATGCCCTGAGTCTATTTCTATTTTGCATTACCATTTAGCAGATATACACAGATTTCTAAGAAGAAATTTATTTCACTTTCTCTGTCTCATGGTCTCTTCAGAACCACATTTGCTGCATGATCTTTCTAAAAATACACCTTCTTGCATCACTTCCCTGTTTTACTGTATTCAAATCACCTTTAGGGTAAAGTCCAAATTTCATAGCATGGCATTCAGGAGGCTTCTTGATATGGCCTTACTTTATTGCAAAAATTTCTTATAAAATAGTTCCATAAGCATTCTGTTTTCAAATCTTACATCCCTGACAGTTCGCCTGTCTTTAAGGTGGCATGTTCTTTCTTATTCCTGTACCTTTGCTTACGATGTTCCCTCTGCCAGCTGTGGGTCTTTACCAATTTCTTCACTGGACAGTTTCTAAACTGATGGTTCAGAGGTTCCATCTTTTTACAAAAGACTTTCCCGAACCTTCTTTGTCTTTCTGCAGCACCTCACCTTGCCATTAACATGGTCCTTATCAGTCTGACACATACAAAGAAGGGATAGACTGATTCTCCTCTCCCTAATGACTAATACAGTTGGGCTTTCAGTAGGTGTTCTATGAATATTTGTTTAATGAACTAAATTAATTTTACTTTCCTTAGAGCATAGGGGTGTCGTTAGGACTGTATGTACACCACTGCCTCAGTGAGAAGACTAGAAGGGAAAGGGAAGGAAATGATTGCCCCAAGTCACTTACGTCAGTCATCTGAAGTCACCATGTTTGCACTTTTTGCCTAGAGCATTAGGATGAAAACATTTGAGAAGACATCATTAAGGAAAGATGCTAAGGCATTTGGACTAAGATGCTAAGGCATACTAAGTCATATGTACTTTGTCCAGAGGGTGATATGCTAGATTACTGGTGAGAGAAATCATGGCTGACTACTGATGGGTTGGTGAGGATGTAAACTGGGAGAGGTAACAAAGTGGAGTCTTCTGTATTAAGCTGAACTGAATTTGTTTTGATTTAACTGCATGTAGATTGTAAGGGAACTAAAAGAGATTAATAATGACAAATTTCTGGCTTAAGCAATTAGGATGAGAATTGTACTATTTACTTAATTAAAATCACAGGACAAAGAGAGAAACAGAAAAAAAGAAAATCACGGGCCAAAGATCTGATTTTGTATATTTTAAACTAAGATACCTGTAATAGGAAATAAGAAATGAATATCCAGGAAAAATGTTTTTACATTTTGCAAATTAGTTTGAAATATTGCTAAATTCTTGGAGCTAGCAATAAAAAGAAAAATAAGTAGTAAAATGATTTTGAAAAAATTTTAAGATCATGATAATGGTGATCTCTATATCATTTGATGAAAGGTTAAAATACCTTTTAACCTGGTTTGTTTGTTTAGGTTGGTTTTATTATGTATGGAATACTTAAGGATATAAGTGTTGAATTAACAAATTGAAGAGTCTAGTCATTGCAGTGTTAATAATGTTCTTCTTACACTAATACTCTTGGGAAAAATAAGTTTTGATAAAGAAATGGTTGCCTTCATTTAATTTCATGTACATCTTCAAATTTCATAATATGTAATAAATGGTGGCAAAACAGTATAAAATTGAGTGTATTATGTTCACACTAAAAATTTAAGAATTATTCAAGTTGGAAATTAAGATTTTATATTTTAAAATTAAAATGTTCAAAAGGGCAGCTCCTAAGCACATCTCTTTTTTTGAAAGAATATTTAAAATGCTCTTTATATGAACAAATCTAATCATATCAGACTGGAATCTAATAGATTCACTTCAGAGTATATGTCATTTTCTTGCAAGAAGAAAGACAGAAGTAGGCACAAGTTCATTCTTGTGTTTTGATGTGGGTGTTTTTGTGCTCTTCTTTATTCTGTCACATTGCCTAAAATATTCTATCTTCCACAGTAAGAGTGGATTTCAGTCAATTTGAGATAGAAATAAAAGCTGTGGGGATAAACTGAATTAACCATTTTAAGGAAAATATTTACTCTGCTATCCTGTTTTGGAGCAGGATTTTTTAACAGTGTTTTGTTTTTATAAACAAAGTCACTTATGTTATCTTGGGTGATTTCTTTCTTACTGCATTCCATTAGACCAAGATTTGCACAACATAAATAAGGAAATAACCATTATCCTACAAAAGAACTAATTTTGTCTCCTCTTTTCTCCCTTCTCCCCAAGAGAGACAAAAAAAGAAAAAAAATGCTCTGGTTAATAATCAGTTTGGAAATCATGACATGTTAGTTCCACAGTTACCTTTTAGCTGTGTCATGTTTGAAATTTCCTGTCCAAGATAAACAGATCTACTTCTAAAGCTGGAAATAAGTGATAATGCAGCCTTTACATTTTGAGGAAAGATAAAATGAACTATATCATTTATATACCCTAAGATTCAGCAAATGCTTAGAGATTTAATAAATATGTGCATGGATCTAATTTAATAAATAATAGCATCATTGGGAAAATGAAGGTTTTTTCACTAAAATTATAAAAATCTATAAATGGCCTTAAAATATACCCTGCTCATGTTTCAATTCAGATTTTATAATTGTTGCCTTCTCTGCTAAATACTGTCGATGAGCTGCCTGTAACCCTTAGCCTCTCCCTTGCTTTTTTACTTCAATTATTACTCCAGAGTTGGTCTCTGGGGCCTTCTAAATGAAGATCCCTTCTGTCTTTATTTCTAAAGTTATATTAGAAAACTAAAAACAATAGAGTGAACAAATAGATAAACAGGCTTCGAAAGAAAACTGTGCCTAAGTTGGGAAAGGATCGTTTCAGAATATTCAGATCGCTCAGAAACAAAGAGACAGAAAATGTTTGAGATCCGTCTTTAGTCTGTAATTTGAGAAAGTCAAATTACCAGTGGTCTGTATCAAAGTTAGGGAGGGAGGCAGAACGAAAGAGTTAGATTGTTTTTGTATAAGTACTCCCCTCCCCCTCAAAAGAAGAAAGCTACTTTGCTGTTTTGGCAGGAAGAGATACTATACTGTGAATTTTTTTTTTTTTGTCACTATTTGAATTTCTGTTGTAGATACATGTGAAATGATGGGATTAAAGGAAGACATAATTTGCACCGTTGCATCTGGAAGAGCTTGTTCCTTTTGCCTATTGGAATAAAAATGTGGAAACCTTAACTAGCTAGCTGCTAGTTATAGCATGAGAATGAATACAAGGATAAGCTACCTAAATGCTTCTCCATAGCAGCTGAGGTGGAATGAAAGTTAACATAGATCAGTGAGGTCTAAAATTCTGTTTCACCTTCTCCATCAGGGACTGAGTATGCGCTTGGTCAGTCTGTTTAGCTAGTAAGTGAAGGAGACGCCTGGGCCTAGTTGTAAAGCTCAAGGGAGGAGGAGGTATATTGTTGACCAACCATCACTGTGTTTCAGTGGCAGCATATCCATTTAAAACATTTAATTTATACTATACTTCAATTTTTAAAAAACATTTAATTTATTATCTAGCAACCTTATTATTTGCCCTTAACTAGTAATCTGTTGCTCTGTCACTTCAAAACAAATACATGCCTTACTATTGCTTTCCTATTATTGGGTAACTTTCTTGAACTTTCACAAGAAATATGATTAAAATTTTACAATATACATTGCAATATCTAAATTTAAATGCACATAAATATAATAATTGATTAATTATACTGAGTACAATTTTAATTTTATTTTTAGTTATATGTGAGTCCGTCTGATATACACAAGAGAGGAAGCAATTGAAGGAGAATTCGGATGGGCAGTGTTGGTGATTGAAACCTTCCAAAGTCAGATGTCTGTGTATTCTTTCAACTATATTTGCACATACCTACCCAGGTAAGAATAAGTGATTGTTTATGTACTTAACATCATTTCAAAAAAAGATTTGAAACTATAAAGATGTTTTTATTTTGTACCAGATATTAAAAAAAATAGTTTTATTATAGAAAATGGTAAAATACATAAAAGCAAAATAAAATTGAAATTATAAATAAGTCTATTTTCTAAAAATAACTTCTGTTACTTTGTTCTGTATCATTTTTTTCTTGTTTTGTTGGTTGGGCTAATATGTATTTGTTGTTTAATTTTTTATCATTTTTGTAGCAAATCTGTTTTGTTCTATTTGAGGATACGAATTAATGATTCAGAATTTTTCATTGTATGTGTTAATATAATCATACACTATTTAAAAATATTTTTTAGATTGGTTTATTATTCAGAGAATGTCCTTATAGATAAAGTGATATATACATTGCTCATTTTGCCTTAGTAGAGTTACTAAAATTAGCATTGCTATCTCAATGGCTGTGGTGTTTTAAAGGCTTTTATTGCTGAATTTACCTCCAGGAGGTAGTGATATGTTACAGTTTTCAGTAGCCATTTTGGAAAAGATTTTTTGACCCATCAACTTATATTTTTTTACTCAAAGAATTTTTGTAACAAAACCTACTTTGTATTGAATTAAAAATGCAAAGCTAAGACAACATTCCAAATTTTGGCTGCAAGCTATAGCATCCTTTCCTCACATGTATTCAGCCAATATATCCCTTACACAAACAAGTCTAGAAAAAGAGTAAATATTACATATATATAATCTTTTCCACTGTCTAAACACACATTGTTTATAGATGACAGCACGTATACATTTATTCAATTAACATTTATTGAAAACTTATGATTGCACTAAGCCCAAGCACTATGATTATTTGAGCAATGATGGTGGTGATGGTAGACATTAGGTACAGGAAGGCACAAAAAGCGTTGCTAGTTGCTTGCTTCTTCTAATTGTGAATAAATTACGGCAAGATAAGAAACATGTTTCAGTTCCTTAGGTACAGGTAGGATGTATTAAGTGCCAAGAAAAAGTAAAAGGAAAGGGCAGTTATTGATAATAATACTGCAGCTTGGGAATCGAACCCTTCACAAATGAGAGACAAGATGAGTTGTGCTTTTCTGGGAAGGAAGAACTTGGCAGGCTAATATTTAAATGGAGGGCCACGTTGGAGCAAAGATACAGAGCTGAGAGAGCTAGCAGATATTCAGGATATGGGAATAATAGGGTAGATTTAGCAGAGTCATGGGAAATACGTTCTGGGATTTGGATCCCTATACTTCGGCATTTATATTTCATCATCAAATGATGAGGGATGGTTGCGGGGGGTCAGATGATCTGTGTGGTATCCTAGGAAGCTTAATCTAGCAGTGAAATGTGTGTTAGACTATTGAAGAGAGAGCAAATCCAAAGGGAGTGAGAATAATCTGTAGGCCTTTCTGTTTCATTTTCATTGGCATCTGGAAACACTTTATTTGCCAGGCACTACAGTAGGAACTGTAGAGAAAAAGATAAAGACATAATCTTCACTCTTGAGGCGCTTATAATGTAATGGATGAGACATGCATGGCAAACAAATGAATATAATACACCATGACAGTGTAACAGTTGAGCCATATTCAAGGTAATACTAAATGGTAACTAATTATATTGAGACGCAGTTACGGGGTTATCAACTGATACAGTTTCCCAAAGACATCAAGTCTGATCAATGTTACCCTAGAAGCAGTGTTTCCAAACCTTGCAAGAATTCAAACAAGAAGTAATGAAACTTTATCTAGGGTGAAAGTAGTGTAAATAAAAACGAGGCAGTGGTAGAAATGGTGGGAGGCTGAGGAGAGAGTCTTTTATTTTAGGCAAGAGGGGCACGTTGATGGCATTAACAGATATGAGGGAAAAACAGGAAAAGTGGGATTTTTGTGTTGATGAAATAATAGGTTTGATTTTGAACACTGAGGATTTGTCTGCCCTGCTCTCTCACTGTGTTTTGCTCATACCTTTGCTGGTGCACTCACAGCATTTTTAAATTTCATTGCAATTACTTATGTAATTGAGAATTCATTCATTTACTATGAAAAGTCCAAATACAAGTGAAGAGTACTTGGAGTAAAAAGAGTAAAAATAAGTTACATCAAACAAAACACATGAAGTATGAAGTAAAGACCTGATTTGATTCATAGCCACTGTAAGTAATAATTTATCTTTAGCCTTTCTAGCAGTCACAAAAGTGGATATATGTTCTTGCCCTAAGAGCTTAAATAAATTTATTATAGGAATCTTAGTGTCATGGACAGGAAAATTGTCCTTACCACTTAGAGGTGCCTTAAATTTTACATTGTTGAAAGGAAAGGGAACCTAATACATAGGTATAAATAGGTGAGTTTGCGGAAGTTAAGAATTCAACTTCTCCAGGAAATCTTCCCAAACTTTTGGAACCTGTACCAGATCTTTCTTCTATATGCTTTGTTCCTTAACACCATTTACATTCCTCACTCATACCAGGCATCCTGATTTTGTCTGTCATTTCCTGAGACTTAGATTTTTGAGGATTGGGTTGTCATTTATCATTAGAGATATAAATTCAAATCTAAATAAAACTCACCACAATGTTGTTTTTACAGGTACTCCATAAATATTTCTTAAATGCAAAATTGAGTCCATTTCCATGGCTTGTCTTAATCATGGCTGACCTAGCCTAGATGTTTTTGTGAGCTCCATATTGGTTTTCTATTGCCGTATGATAGATTACTTTAAAACTTAGCAGCTGAAAACAGTGCTTATGTATTATCTTACAGTTTTCTGTGGGCTACAAATCTAGGCACAGCTTAGCTGATGCCTCTGGCTCTAGGTGTCTCTTGATGTTGCAGTCAAGCTTTCCACTGGAGCTACAATCATTACAGAGCTCAGCTGGGGCTGAGGGGTCCACCTCCAAACTCAACCATGGAGGGCCTCTCTTTGTAGGGCTGCCTCATAATATGGAAGCTAGCTTCCTGGGGCAAGAGAGAGCAAAAGTGAGCACCCGTGATGGATACCACATTCCTGTATAACCACACCTAGGAAGTATCATCCTGTTACCAGGAGAGTAGGTTCTTGTCTTGTCACAGAAAGAATTCAGAGGTGTGAAATGGAGGTCAAGAAAGTAAAGCGAGGATTTATTAAGCTATACTATGCTCTCAAAGGGAGAGTGGGCAGACCCAGCTGAGCAGCTGTACTGAGTTTCTTTGGCAAGTTGGTTATATAGGGTGTAAAAATGAATGGCTGGAATATCCATTGAAGAGGGAGAGGTTTGGGGTCATATTCCTTGATTTTCTTCCCAGCTGCACCTTCCTGAGGGCAGGAGAGATTTTTGTCCTTATGTAGTCTGGATCGGAAGTGTCATGGGGTTGGTGTATGATGGGTACTTCTCATCTGCAAGGCTAATTTTATTGAAATGAGGGCATAATGAGCCAAAGGTTACATTTGGACACTAGAGATTCCTGCCTCTTCCCACCTTCCTTTGTCTGCTTCCAGGACACTTGTCACCTCAAAAATGTCTGGTTTCTTATCAGTCTGGTTGTTCCTGCTTTTCTCTTTCTGCTCAAGGACCCCCTGTTGTTTACAAGATGTATGGTTTCCTGCCATTTGGCCTGTGCCCCTCTTTCCCTGCTCATACCTGGCTTTCTGCCTGCTCTCACAATCCCAGCTGTGGTGAATTGAATGATGGCCTCCAAAAAGATATGTTCAAGTCCTAACTCGTGTTACTTGTGAACGTGACATTATTTGGAAAAAGAGTCTTTGCAGATGTCATTAAACAGAGGATCTTGAGTACAAACATGCCTGATTAACTAGATGAACCCTAAATCCAGTAACACATGTTCTTATGAGGCACACACAAAGCAGAAGACACTGTGAAGACAGAGGCAAGGACTGGTTTGATGCAACCACAAGTCAGGAGTCACCTGGAGCCACCAGAAGCCAGAAGAAGCAAGAACAAAATCTCCTTTAGAGCCTTCGCAGCAAGCATAGTCTTTCTAACACCTTGATTTCAGATTTCTGGCCTCCAGAACTATGAAAGAATAAATTTCTGTTGTTTTAAGTCACTCAGTTTGTGGTAGTTTGTTATGGAAGCCACAGTAAATTAATATGCCACCCCTTGTGCAGTTTTCTGTATTTCAGAAGTGAGTCATAGGTCCAGCCCACATTCAAGGGCAGAGGATCACAAAAGGGCCTGAATCACTGGAAGAGGTCACTGGAAGCCATCTGAGAGCCTGTCTGTCCCATCAGACTTCTCCATTTGTTTGTTGTCTGTTTCACATATCTGTGTAGATGGATCAAATGCCACAGACCAGAGATTAGAATCGTTATCTTACATTATTAAAATTCTTGATCTTTCTTCATGTTTTTTACCTATCTGATTAGAATTACTATTCATTTGAATAGTCAAATTGGAAAACTTAAGAGTTAATTTGACTTTCTACTTTTTTCTTAATACTAATAGCCTTTAATTGATTAACCAGTCTTTTTCATTCTATTCCTTAAATTTTTCATCATCTGTTCCTTTCTCTTCAATCTCTCTCCTACTCTTTGCAGGCGTCTACGATCTCTTTCTAGAAGTAGCAGTATAGCCCCTACGTGGTCAATCTGTTTCAGAGCTTTTCCCCTTTAAACCTTTCCCTGCAAAGTGGTTTGAAAAGCAAAGTGGGATTATGTGATTTCCTTTACTATTAACATTCTCAGGAAAAAGAAGACCCTTATGATCTGGCTCTCAACTTCCTAAAATCTGAACTTTGTTTTTAATCATTCCTTAATACAGATCCATAAACGCAGATAAAAATTTCCAGATAATGTTGTGTTCTTTCATTTTTGCTGATCTTTGTCTGGAATTCTCTTTTTCCAGTAAGCAGATAGGTGCTTGTTTTTATATCCAAAGCACCTAGCAGAATGTCTAATGTAATGGCCAGCACAGAATAGGTTTTCATCCATTGTAAATTAATGTCAAAGATGAAAGAGATGAAGGATGAAGAAA